ATGCGCTTTTCTCTAGTTGCGGCGAGAGGGGGGCTACTCTTCGTTGTGGTGCGCGGGTTTCTCATTGCGGTGGCTTCTCTTGCTGCGGAGCACGGGCTCTAGACCCACGGGCTTCAGTAGTTGTGGCACGCGGGCTCAGTACTTGTGGCTCGCGGGCTCTAGAGCGCAGGCTCAGTAGTTGGGGCGCACGGGCTTAGTTGCTCCGCGGCATGTGGGATCTTCCCGGACCAGGGCTCGAACCCGTGACCCCTGCATTGGCAGGCGGATTCTTAACCACTGCGCCACCAGGGCTGGCTGGAGAGGGTGCTACCTGGCCCTCCCCTCCTCTATCCCCTTTAAGCAGGGCCCCAATTTGGGGGCATATTCCCCTAAAACACAGGCATATATCCACCCAGTGCTTCCTCAGTGTTCCTGAATATTCCTGTCCAGGCCTACCTGTCTGGGAATGTCCTTAGACATGGGCTTATGGTAAGAGCTCTGTGGCTCTTTGGGCTACAGCAATTACCAATAGTTAAATGCTTGTAGGTGCATTAAAAGCAATGCCAGGGAAGCAAGGAAAAGATGACCATTTACCGAGTGCCTACGAAGTGTCTCATTGAAATATCACAAAAATAATAAAAAAATATTTCTTGAGTGCTACTATACAGCAAGATAGTATCATGTCATGGCCAAGAGAATAGATTCTAAAACCAGACCTCCTCAGCTTGGCTCTAGGCTCTGCCACTTACTGGCTGTGTGATTCCACAGCCAGTAACACCTCTATGCCTCAGTTTCCTCCACAGTCAAATGGGATAATAGTACCCACCTCCTGGGACTTCAGTGAGGACTGACGTACGTAAAATACTTGCAACGGTATCTGGCGCCACGTGTTTGCTGTTATTATTACTCTATGCGATGGGCATATTACATGGAGCAGTACCTTTGGTTTCATTTTACAAATAAGGACAGAGCGCTTTCAGGGACTTATATAACTTGCCACGGGACACAGCTTGTGCAGGGCAGATTTGGAACACAGGTATATGCAACTCCTAAGACCTTTCCATCATATACCAAAGCCAAAACAAATTTCTACTACTGAATTTGTGTCATCAAAGTCATAGCAGACAGGTACATTAAGAGCTATATAGGTGTTTGATCAATAAATTGAAAATACTCCTCCTTCAAACCACTAAGCCACGTGAAATGCAGAACGGCTCAGGAAGGCAGCTGGAGTGACCAGAAAGTGTGGGTCAAGGCTTCTTTGGGCTCCAGCAGGAACCTGGAGGTAAGGAAAGGCTCCCAGGAGAACAAAAGATTAGTCAGGAATCGGTGATGGGAGGGGCGGTGGAGGGCTAAGAAAGGAAACCTCAATGGAAGCAAGAAGCTGGTTATCCAGGACTAAGATGAGAAGGGAAATGACAAGGCCTGGGGTTTCTAGAGACTGCATATCTAGATGACAGGGCACAGATGGGAGCCTGGGTGAGGGCCGGGGATGAGCCCAGAGCTGCAAGGGCAGCCACAGGGATGCTGGAGGAGGCGGGAGCTTAGACCCTTTGGAGTCTGGACTTCCGTTCCCACTTTTCCTTTCAGCTGCAAAGTAAACTGAGGGCCTCAGAAGGATTAAACAAAAACAGGAGGAAAGGGCTAGTGGGGGGGGGGGGGGGGGGGGGAGAAGCACTAAGCCCAGTCCTGGGGTGCAGCCCCCCATGGGCCCCTTCCACTCTTCTTTCACCATAAAGAGAGCCAGTAAGTTAGAGAACAGACAATTGTCCAATTAAATTAGATTTTTAGGCTGCATTTATCTATATGATGGGGGTGCTGAATTACCTGGAAAATAATTTCAACTCTCCACTTAATTTTGCTCAATTATTTTGTCCTAGGAATCAATGGAAAGTCTTTGACTCAAAGTCTGAGGTCCTTTTTCCTGAACAAATTAGGTTTTCCTTGGCCTCTCTCAGACCTGGGTACCAGACTCTGAGGAAATCCTGGAGTAAGAAAGATGACTACCCTGGGGGGACTAAAGACCGGGTAATCTACCAAAATTCGAAGTACATCATGGAAGGAGTATTCTCATTCCACACATCACGTCGTTAGCTTTAGTGCTTCAACTCAGGGTATAATTTAATTTTTATTTTTAACAGCAAATTAATTATAAAGGACACCCTCTAATAAATTCCACACAAATGCATCACAAACACAGCCTCAGAGTTAAGTGATGTTCACATATTGTTTCCTCTTTACACTGGAATACAATGGCTTAAAAATTCTCATCGCCAAGCCAAATTCAGCCCTTGGCGTGCTTGTGAAACCACCGAGGAAGACTCAGCCACTGACCGAGAACAAGGTAACCTGTGTTCTCCAGGGCCAAGCCTCGCCTCGGGAAGGGAAGGGGGAAGCGGGCAGGCGAGGACCTCCAATATCAGCGAGGGCCATCAGGACGTCCTGCTAATAAACGACTTTTTCACTGTCCACACTATAATTGGTTTACAGCCTTTTTTGTTTATTTATCCATAAGAGCTGCTGTTAAATGGCTCGAGAAGGCTCTCGCCTAATGGCTCAGTATCGCTCCCGGGCCTGTGCGAGGCGAGAGGGGCGCAGGCGTCGGCGGGGATTCAGAGCGGAAATGCATTTCACCTGTAATGGACTTGGCGCTTTTATGATACCCTGAGCTATATCCACAGAAGAAACACAACACACGACCTTGCTCGGTGGCGGGTACATGTACGTACATTACAATTAGCCAATCCAAAAATCCCCCTACCTTCTTCCCACCTAATAAGAACAATAACAAGCGGCTGTTCGGCCGTGGTTTCCTGGGTCACTTTTTTGGGCAGCCAGCCTCAGAAAATGCTCACTGTGAGGGTGGGGAGGCCTGGGTGGGACATCTCCAGCCCACACCCCCTCCCCCCCCCCGTGTTGTCGTGGTTCAGCCCGGGGTTCCCGGATTTTGCCAGCGCGCGCCGGGGGCGGATTTGCTTTCTGCTGAGTGCCTCTTTTCTTTCTGCAGGGCCGAGCAAAAATATTAAATGGGAGCAAATGAAGCATCGAAATGGAGACCAATTTACAGAAATGTGCAATTAGACGAGAAGTGCAAAGTAAACACTCTGGATCTGGGGGGAGGGGCGGGCGAGGCCGCAGCAGCGGAGGGGGAGGAGGGGGCTGCTGGTGCGCCCTAGTAGAGGGACCGCCGAGGAGGCGAGCGAGAGCAAGAGAAGAGAGAGAGGGGGAGGGGAAAGGTGGCCGATCTTTGTCCCAAGCGGTGCTGCCGCCCGCTCATAACCACGTCGCCAAGTCAACCCGCGGCGACTCGGCAGATTATCTCCGAGGGTCAACACGCCGCGGCCCGGCAACCCCCCTCCAGCCCTGCCCTCCTGATCGATGTGGTCGCTCGCGGCCGGTGATAGCGGGTCCTCCGCGGACGCCGCGAACAATGGACTCATTGACGCGGGCGCGGAGAGATTAGGTGCGCGGGTCCCACGGCCTTTCGCTCCCTGGCCCCCTCGGACTGCAGGTGGCCCTTTTCCCTGAAGAAATCGCCGGAACTACCCCCGCTGCCCGGCCGCTCTCAGCCTGCCCTTTGGCGAGAGCCGCGCTCCGACGATCCCCCGGAGCTGCGCGCGTCCCCACCATCGCGGGGACCACTCGGTGCCCAGCGCTCATCCCAACACAGATGTTGACACGGCACCAGCACCTCACAAGAGAAGGAATCTGTAGAGAAGTCCAGATTCCCAACTAGCTTTTGCTTTTTAATGAAAACGAGGCGTATTTCAGGGTAGCGCACTCAATCCGTATGCATTCGTATATTTCCACCACGAGGAAACATATTAAATCTACCTCGTAAAGGACTGGATGTAGTTTGCAGTTTAGGAAAGTCAGTGCAGTGATTTCCTCTTGGTGGTTCCTTGTGGTTCACGCTCCCTCTTGCCCAGGCTTTTCTGCAGTGGTGTCCAGTTTTTCTAAAACCCTCGTGGCGGTTCGAGGAATGTGGTCACTTCGGCAGGACGCCTAAGGCGAACCGGTCGGCGGCGTTGATCCTGCCTGGGTCCGAGGCTATGTGCCAACGCGACCCAGAGATAGTCCGTCTGCACCACTGGATCCGAAAAAGCATCTCTATTCAGTGAGGACCCCAGAGGGCCCAGAAGTTACCGAATCGGTGGGAGCCAAACACTGACATTGTCATAAAAACGCTGCGCTTTTCTTTCTTTTCTGAACGCTCCTCTCCCAGGCCTGCCTTGTTTCAGTCGGACGCGGGAATCGATGTTCTGCAGCTGACGGACTCCGGCCAGGTCTCGGGATCCGTGGGGAGCCATCTAGGATCTGGAAACCGGGGGCCAAGCCCCTGCCCCCGCCTCCGAGACACAAGAGGGGACGCTACTTCTTTTCCCCCTTGCCACTGTAGGAACCTGCATTCTGAGCTGGCCAAATGAACCCCAATTTCCCAAAATCAAAAATTAATAATGCCTTTCCGTTTTAAAAAATTTAGAAGCCACTGTGAATGCTTCTGAAGTTATAGTTTACACTCCAGAAATCCCCGGAGCACAGCCACAGGCAAAAACATACTGCGAATCCTGGATCTTTATGTGCCAGTTCACTGACATCACTCGTGGTTGTGTACAAGTTTCATAAATAAAATAGAACCAACTGCTTCCGACCTGTAGAGCTGGGGTCCGCAAAATATTCTGACCGTATTCCCTAACAATTTTTTAAAAGTCTGTGTACAACCGCAACAGATGTATATTTATAAATTATACCAATGAACTAATATGTATATTATCAAACGTACAAGGAAAATAGACTGTTTAACGTATGAGGAAAATATGTTTCCATAAGTGAACAGAAAGTCTAGTAATTTCATTCGTGCCCCACTTTGGCGAGTACTGCCAACTGCACATACAGGTGTAGTAAACTCGGCTGAAAGAGAAAACTGAAACGTTCAGGCGCTCGTGGGTACCTGGGCCCGGCTTCTTAAGGCAGCCAGCCAGGCCAATAATGGCCTCAGGCAGAGCCACGTGGGGCACAGCGGAGCCTATGGCGCGGCGGCCGCCCGCCCGTCCCGCCGGCACCGGGTCACCTCTCCGAGCGGTGCCGAGCTGTCAAAGCTGCAGGGGTGCCTCCGGGAGTGGGAGCGCCGCACAGCTCCAAGTCCTGGCTCCAGCCCCCTTCTCCCGGTCCCCAAGGCCGGGCGGCAGCCATGAATGGCGAGGAGCAGTACTACGCGGCCACGCAGCTGTACAAGGACCCTTGCGCGTTCCAGCGGGGCCCGGCGCCAGAGTTCAGCGCCAGCCCCCCTGCGTGCCTGTACATGGGCCGCCAGCCCCCGCCGCTGCCGCCGCCGCTGCCGCCGCCGCCGCCGCCGCCGCCTCCATTCCCGGGCGCCCTGAGCGCGCTGGAGCAGGGCAGCCCTCCGGACATCTCCCCGTACGAGGTGCCCCCGCTCGCCGACGACCCCGCGGTGGCGCACCTCCACCACCACCTCCCGGCTCAGCTCGCGCTCCCCCGCCCGCCGGCCGGGCCCTTCCCGGATGGAGCTGAGCCGGGCGCCCTGGAGGAGCCCTGCCGCGTCCAGCTGCCTTTCCCGTGGATGAAGTCTACCAAGGCTCACGCGTGGAAAGGCCAGTGGGCAGGTAAGCCTGGCTCCCGCCCGCTTTGTCCTCACCCGGTCTCCACCCGGCTGCCCCTACCTCCAAGCGCTTCCCAGGACTCTCTCCCAGTTTGCGTCCCCAGACCCTATGGATAACCTAGAGTCGGACTAAAGCATACAGGGAGCTAACCAGGCCATTTTGCAAAGAAGCGCTTTTCTGGTCCAACTTGGAGCGTCTTTCCCACTCAGCTCTCTTCCTGGCAGCCTAAAGTCCTTCCTTCCCTGTCTGCTGAACTCCAGGAGCCCGCGCTCTCCCTGCGAGCCTAGGCCTGGCCGAGCTCAAGGCCTCGTACCCTCCAATCCTCCCCCAGGTGGGGGTCCGCCCGCCCAGGACTCCCGGGAGGGCGCGCCGAGGGAGCCGAGCAGGGCTCTGGGATGCTCCCGGCCCGGCCGGAGCGCGCCTTCGGAGCCCCGGGCCCCTTCTCGCCTTGAGCACCGCCCCCAACCCCCGCGGGCGGCTCCAGTAAAGAAAGCCAGGCCGTCTCAGGGGCACTAAGTAGGTGCAGAAAAGCAGAGAAAGAAAGCCGTACCCAAGCGTGCAAGGTGTCCAGCGGCCGGGGCTGGGGGTCACCGCAGGGCCGAGGACTGGTCGCTCACCCTCGAAGCCGAGCAGCTGGGAGAGGCGTCTGCGATGCTCATTCACTTTTGAACCAACGGAAGTGTTTGACGGGCTCTCCCCGCGCTGCGTCCCTGCCAGTCAGTTCGAGGAAGGAGATGCCCTCCGGCACAGGCGAAACAGGGAGCCCCAGGCGCCGGCCTGTAACGGAAGGTCTTCCCGGCCCAGAGCCGGCGGCGAGTTCTGGCGCGGCCTGTGCGGCCGCCACACAATCTTATCGCTTCCGTGCCGAAGCCACTTCTAGTCACACCTGCACTGCAAATAGTGGACTTTTCTTTTCCTTCCAACTAACAGTCGGGAGTCAGGGGAAAGAGGCTGGAGGTGCCCGCGCCCCCCGCCCCGGGAATCCTCGGCCCCCGCCTGCCGAGTCTGGCTAGCCTGCCCAACTCTGCCCCTTGCGCAGCCAAGACGGGCTTGGGGAGATCCGGGCTCATCCCCGGGGCTCGCCTCTCCCCACTTTCTCGCGAAGGCTGTGTGGGGACCGGGCAGGTCCTGAGGCAGAACAGGGTCCAAACTCGGCCGCGATCTTCCCCACCGGTGGCGAAACCCCGCACGACCCTTCCTCAGCCCACGCGGCCGCGGCCAAAGGCCTCGGAGCCTTGGCAAATGCGGGATTCTTGGGAGGCGGGAGGACGGCGTCCCCGGGCCGTGGGCGCGGGACTCCCAGTCCGTAGTCTCCTGCCAGGAGCTGCCTCCCGCCCGGGCCCCCTTCCCACGGCGCGCTGGGGGCTGGGGGCGCGCATTTCTCGAATCCCCGGCCCTCCTCGCGGCCTCCCCAGGAAGAATGCGAGGGAGGACCCGAAAAAGCCTTTCTGCGGTGGGGTAACTTCCCACCTCCCGGGGGTGTTACAGCTGCTCGGGTGGAGCTTGGGCTCGGGCGGACCGAAAGAGACGGAAAGGAAAACCCGAAGGAAAATCGGCAGCCTTGCCGGGGCATGGGGTAGCTCTGGAAGGGTGACTTCCTCGGGCTGGAGGGTCGCGGTCGGAGGGGCCTTTGCCTGCGCCCTCTGACCCACTGCAGGCTCAGCCCGCCGGGGGCTGGGGGGCGGGAGGCGCCCTCCGGGCAGCTGCTTGCACGATGCTGCTGCAGCCAGGGCCGTCCTCCCCGGAAGCTCTGGAAGGAACCAAACTTCAAGGGTCTGGGAGCCCGCCTGCCCGCTCCTACTGGGGTTTCACACCCCTGGAGAGAAAGAAGTGACCAAAGGGCCTTTATACGTAGATCGGATATGCATACTACTAACAACAGGAACTTCCAAAACCCTCGCCCTAAGAAATGAACGGCGGCTGCCTTGCTGGCGGGCTTGCCCCTAAACGCCTCCCCCTGCGCCTTGGAGAACAGTGCAGGCTGGGGGTCCTGACGTCTTCCCAACAGCCTCCATCCTACGCCTTCACCCCCTGCCAACTCATCCTAGGCACAGCACCCCTGGGCTAGTGGGCCTTGCGCAGCCTCTCAGAGAGCTTTGGGGAGGCTGCCGAAAAAGGGCCAAAGCTCCGCGAGGTTGTGGGTTGAATTTACGAACTTCAGACGACCTTTTCAGACGTTCTTTTAAGGCTCCTTCGTTTCTCTCCCAAGCCAAGGAAGGCTTGGAAGTGTTCAGACTCCGAGAGACGCCCCCAGCAAGCAGGACTCTGCTGACTCGGACCGGAGCCTCTGCCTTGGCTTCTGGGCACCTCCTTTTGGCCTGGGGGGAAACCCCTGGTGGCTTGTATTCTAGAAACACACACACTAGCTTTTCAACTCTAGTTGCAGGAGAAATGTCACATACCTCTGCCCTACGTACACGCCGATTTAGGACTCTTCCCTGTGTTTCGCTGGAACTCACCGCCCCAGAGTCCACAGCCTGGGCGCAGTCGGCATGTCACCCAGAAAGGAAAAGATCAGGGCCTGGAGGCGCACGGCCACAAACACCGGGTGAGCGGTGCTAATCTACCAGGCCGGGCCTGGCTGTCGCTTCCGCACCACCCGGGCTCGGGGCTCCTCTACCCTGCCAGGCTCTCAGCTCCCCAGTGGGGGATCCGGCCCCGAGGCTCCCCTCCCTAGCCTCCCCTCCTGCCTTGGCCAGTATTTGGGGCCCAGGACACAGAGGCTGGGGTTGACCTTCTCCGGGGCTCAGAATGGTTTCTCCCTTCTCGTCCAGGGCAGGTGCCCAGCCGAGGTTAGAATGACAATTATAGAGAATTTACCAGTTCTTGAGTTGGGGCTGACTACAGTATAACTTGATAGAGAGATAATATATGGTCAGATATGACAATATATGTCATAACCTCGGGAATTTTATTAGCTCAAGGTTTTTCAAACTGAAGGTTGCACCCATTAGTCGGTCGTGAAATCCATTTACTGGGTTGAAACCTTGTTTTTAATGAAACAGTAAACAATAGGAGAAATTAGATAGCATCATAGGTGGTAAAGTTTGGTTTAAGGTCCTAAATTTTTTTGTGTGGCAGTTACACATATCAGTGTGTGAACTGGGTGATGATTTGAAATGTATTTGTTACTGTGGGTCGTCGTCAGAAAGGTTTTTTTTAAGTACTGTATTAAAGACATTTTTTTGCCTTGGTAGAATCCAGTCGGTTTAGGTATCTGTTATGTGCATTTTAATCAGCACCAACCCAAACAGCGGTTAAGTGAACCAACATTCTAGAACCACTCGTTGATAGAGCCACGGAGAGAACCTATGCAGCTTTGACCTCCAAGAAAAGGCAAACCGTACTAGGGAAGGGCTGCGTGCCCCAGACTGGGCTCTCGGATAGAGGGCCTGAGCTTGGTGGCCGGAGCGGCTGGGAAGGGGTCAGGGCTCCTAGGATTGGGGCAAAAGGGTTGGACTGCACGGGTGGGGACAGGCAGGAGAAGCCAGGGATCAGGGACCACATTCACGTGCTGTGTCGCCCGCAGGTGGTGCCTACGCAGCGGAGCCAGAGGAGAACAAGCGGACGCGCACCGCTTACACTCGCGCGCAGCTGCTGGAGCTGGAGAAGGAATTCCTGTTCAACAAATACATCTCCAGGCCGCGCCGGGTGGAGCTGGCCGTCATGCTGAACTTGACAGAGAGACACATCAAGATCTGGTTCCAAAACCGCCGAATGAAGTGGAAAAAGGAGGAGGACAAGAAGCGCAGCGGCGGGACCGTGGCCGCGGGCGGTAGGGACGCGGAGCCCGAGCAGGACTGCGCGGTGACCTCGGGCGAGGAGCTGCTGGCGCTGCCGCCCCCGCCGCCCCCCGGGGGTGCTGTGCCGCCCGCGGTCCCCGCCGCCGCCCGGGAGGGCCGCCTGCCGCCTGGCCTTAGCGCGTCGCCTCAGCCTTCCAGTGTGGCGCCTCTGCGACCGCAAGAATCTCGGTGAGAGATGGGGCTCCTCCCTGCCCGGTGGCATCGGCCACCCGCAAAGGAGGGAGGCGCGGACCCAGGACCCCGGGTGTGACCACTGGTCCAGGCCGTTCGCTGGGGCAGGAGCTGGGCGGCCCACCCCAGACTGGAGGGGAGAGCCCGGGCTGTGAGGCGCCTAGTGCCAACTGGGGCGCGGTGGGGAGACGTTGGCCCACCTTCTGGAAGAAGAGACGTTTTCTGAAATATCTGGGGCCTCTTTGGGTGATACTGTTGGACTGGCAACGTCTGTGCTGCCGTGCAGGTACCATCACTCCAGAACCGTGGACCTCTTTAGAGAAGCCGGCTCTTCAAAAGACAACAGAAACTGTACAAACTGGAACCGTCCCCAACACAGCAGGCAAACTGGATGGAGCGCCTCAACCTGCCCGGGGAACAGAGCCATTTTTACTCCAGCCTCTGCCTTAACCTTTAGAAATAACTGAAAGGAAACATCTGAAGTTTCAAAGACCTAGTGAAATCAATGCCCATGGAATAGAATAATTCCTCCTTCTCCTCTTCTTTTTTAATCCTTTTAGCAGAACCACATCCTTCACCAGTACACATCCTTCAGCCTCCACCTCTTTCCTCTGAAGAAAAGAATGTCTTGCAAACGTGGCTGGGCGGTGGCAGGGCTGGGGCACAGGGGCAGCGACAGCATCGCTGTACACCCCTTTGTGCCCAAACTCCCAGAGACGGCAAGGGGAGATGGGCCTGGAGCGAAGGTTTGGGGGAAGAAAGACGGCCCCTGATCAATCACTACACTGAAGATATCTGGAGCTTTCTATTCCAGATGGGGATCTGGTTCCTGATCTCAGGGCAGGGAAGACTGTGTGGGGACAATCAGGGTGGCCTGACCCACCTTGGAAACTATCCACAGGGTATGACTTCCTCATCCTTAGAGATGATGAAAATGTATGTGGTTGGAGAATTTCAGGCAAGATGGTTATTTTTATTTAAAGTTTTAAAATTACCTAACAGTTCTTTGCAAACAGGTCTGTGGTTTCCAGGTCAGTTGCTTGTTTCAGGGTCTGGGCCTCGTGTTCAGATGATGTTTGTGGAAAACGTTTAATAAATACAGATAACGTGGAAGGAAAAGAAAATTGATTCCGCTTTCTTTGTGTCAAACCCTTCTTGCAGTGCAATGATTCCAATTCATTTAAAAAATTAAAGCAGCATTTTTTTTTTTTTTTTTGGCACTAACCAGGGAAAACCCGGTTAGGCACCACGTTTGGGTTTTAGGTTGGGAAAGCGTATCAGCAGGTGGATTTTCAGGTGTTTTGTTTTGTTTCATTGTAAATTTAGGAGTCACTTCTGAAAATGAGTTAATTTCTTAGGCAGTAGAGCCCATAGGCATGGGGTTTCGGAGTGTGGCGGGCTGTCGATGAATAAGTGCAGAGCCAGAGATGCCACCCGGCCCCGCACCGAGGGGGACAGAGAAACGCCCAAAGCGGCCGTCCAGGCGAGGCGTTTTTCGGGGGCTCCTCCGAAGGAAGTGTTGCTCTGGATGAGTTTCCACCCCTGGAGCCTGAGGGCCAAGAGAGTCTTGTGTTAGGGGAACACAGGCCCCGACGTAGTGGGCTTCCAACCTCCGGGCCACCCTGCTCCTCCCCGTGGCCCTTGGACGGGCAGCACAGCCCCAGTGCACGCCTGAAGGCGCCTCCCCAGCGTTTCCACCGGTTCCGAGATAACGGCTCACTCCCAAGAGTCGCCGCTATTATTTTCGTTTGCAAAGAGATGCAGGGTTTGTTTTTGCTTTGTTGGTAGTTTTTGTTTCTGCTTTTTCGGTTTTATTGTAATTGTTTTTTTGTGCGTGTGCGGTTTTCTTGAGAGAGAGAGAGAAGTCGAGTCATAACGCCCCTCCGAATAAAAGAAGGTTCTGTGGATCAGAAAGGAGAACTTCCTCATCAGTGAGACGTCTCACAGGCCGTGAGCCCCTGCAGCCTCTCCACACCCGCCTGGGCTCTGGAGTCTAGCAAGACTACATTCAGACCTCGGGTCCCTCAAATACCAGCCGTGACCCTGATAAAATTACTCCACTTCCCCCTGCCTGGCTTTTCTCATCCGTAAAGTGAAAGCGGATACCACCTCATAGAGTTGCGAGGTTTAAACCAAAGAATACATGTAAAGCGCTGAATTCAGTATCTAGAAAGTAGTTATCCCTCCACAAATACTGGTTGTTTTACTATCATCATCATTTTCGGAAGCAGCTGGGGAATCGCAGCTGCAGAGACTTCCCGAGTCTCCTGCAGCCCCTCTCCTTTGACAAACCTCTTGTTCATATAACCACTGATCTTTACTGAGCGCGTCCTAGTTTTAACGCCGCCCTTCCTCATAAATAGACTGCCCACAGCATCCTTCACCAGGAGAGCCTGTCCTCATCTGACACCAGGGAAGCTGATGCTGTGGGGTGGAGGGAGGACCTACCTGCTGGAGCTCGGCCGCCCGGTTGGTGGAGGTGCGGAGGCTTGTCCTCTGAGGCCAAGGAGGTCTTCAGGGCTCCACGCGGAAGCCGCCGCCCTCTCCGAGGCTCCGGGCCCAACCGCGCGCCGCGGCCTCTCCGCTGGGGGTTCCAGGGTTCGCCAAGCCGAGGAGAAGAGGCGCGGGCCGCCCGGGGCCGGGCTCGGCGGCGGAGGGCGCGGTCTGACTCCGGCCGGCGTGCGGCTCTGCCGCTCTGCTGGGCTGGGGCTCCGGCCGCCGGGGCTGGTGCCTCCGCGCAGAAGAGGCCCGGCTTTCGGTCCCCCCAACCCTTAACTACGCGGGCCCTGGAACAAACCCCTGAATTCTGTGTTTGCCCTTCCATAAAATGGGCTTAGCACAAGGACGAAATGAGATGATGTCCTTCAAGTTTATTACCGGGCCTGGCGCACAGTCGCCAGGGCACGTGGTGGCGGCGGCGAAGTGTAGTTGCCATTAGAGGCCGGTCTCCCAGGGAGACCCAGGGAGACCAAGGGAGGCGGCGGAGAGCGGAGCCCGGCTCGCCAGATGCGCCCGGAAGACAGGAAGGAGGGCGACCGAGCTCGGGCCGGAGCCACGCGGGGCCTCACCCGAAGCGGGACGGAGCGCGTAGTCCCGACCCCTCCGGCCACTGGGTCCAGGTCAGGCCCCACCGGGCGACCCGCGTGCGGCTGGACGTGCGCGTCTCCGAGTCTGAGCGGCCACCCTCGGCCGACGGGGCGCTGGGGCGCTCGGACCTGCCAGCCGAGCCCACGCACGCGGCCCAGACTCTCGCGTGAGGAGTCCTGAACAGTGAGACCTCCCTGGAGCCCGAAACAAATCAGCCAGCCCGGCCTCTTTCGACCGCGATACCCACCTCCGCTGTGGGGCTGCCAGCCTCCCTCTGCTCCTCAGGCACGGCGCGCTCCTCGCCCTCAGTGAACAGACGCACACCGCGAACACCCGGGAAAGCGGCCTCGGCGCGGAGGGAGATGGGGTTTCGGCCAACGCAGAGCGCAGCCGCTGCGAGCGCGCGTCGGCCCGAGCGCCGCAGCATCCGCGGCTCGCCGTCCGCGGCTCGCCGTCCGCGGCTCGCCGTCCGCGCCTCCACGTCCGCCACTCGCCGAAGGGCATCCCCGCTGGACCATGAACCCCACCGTTCCTCCCGGAATCTTCCATCCGCGGTGAGGTACGATCGTGGAGCGCCGCCGGGCGCCGATGGCGCGCGCAGACCAGGCGGCTGTAGCACTGTCCGGGCTCAGCCCACGACTGTAGTCCCGGGCTCCGGAAGATCCCGCGCGGGCGCCGCAAGATCCCGCGCGGGCTCCGCGCCACACACACACACATCCAACACCAGGAGCCACGGGGAGCCGGCGCCGGGGTCGAGGACCCGGGCCTCCTCGTGCACAGCGTCGGGTCGCATGGTATGGTGTCCGCAACAGTGCCCGACAGAGTCCGCCTTTCTTTCGCGATAAAGTCCTTCCTGTAGTTTTGCTTACGGTTACTCAAAGACGTTCTCACCTTAAAAGCCAAACTCATACCACGCAATAACAACATCTGAGTTGGTGGTGATTTCAGGTCCTGCCTATTGTTTTCAACGGGTTTGGCATCTGCAATTCACTTGCCCCTTTCGATCCGGGACTGGCGCCAGAATGCATCCAGCAAGGTTTACTGGGCTCTTGCTCTCTGTGCCGACACGTCTGGAAGCCGCACTTGCCTGGTCGTCCCAATCGGAGATTGGACTGATTATCGGTGAATTGATCAGAGTCCATAGGAGTCACTCAGGTTCCCCAAATTTCTCCTTTTGAACCACAAAGGCTGCTTTGATTTCTCAGATTAATCTTGGCCCTGCGTCCAGGGCCGTCCCTCTCTCCACATCCTCTCCTTCAACTAGTTCCGTTCAATGCATTTAAGTTTGAATGAAATCTAAGTATGGCATTGCCCTTTCAAGTCGGTGAAGTCTGCCTGTTCTTCCATTCCCATTCTCTTCCTCCTTCTCTTTCTCCCCAGATCTGGGTTTCTATGTAGGTGTGGGTGTGTCTTAGGGTGAGTCTATCTTCGTGTGTCTGGTTTTGTTTGTTGGCCTGTATGCATTTGTGTGCATGTGTTTAGGGTATGTCTTATGTGGACTGCAGTGGTGACAATGATCAGGGTGTAGGTAGGAACCACGGACACCTTACTATATACTCTTTTTATTTCCCCGCCCAGCGCAGCCATCTCCCAAGGGCCTGATGACATTGCTGCTGACAAAAACTGTCCACTCAGGTAACTGTCTCAATTCTCTGTGTTGACACAGTGTTTGCAGGCAGGAAAAGCTGTCTTTAGAAGAACACAAGTTGGAACTTTGGTAGAAGCTGGCTGATTGCTGAAGTATTGCACGATTGCATAAGGAATTAAAATTGTTTTTCTAAGAAAAAAGTTCACAACTGAGGTCTTTCATACTTCAACAGCATCACCTAGAAACCCTCCTGAAAATCAAGTACTTAGAAGGGTCAGAAGAGGGAAGTTCTGGGTTAACACTAGATCAAATTTTACTCACAGCCATTCTGACAAGCTAGATGGGGGAGCAATAAACGTAATGGGAAGCCGAGGCAGGGCAACAGGAAGCAGAAAGGCTTCCCTGAAAAAGAACTGGGAGTGACGGAGCCACTCAGCTGGCAGCCAGCCTTCAGGAAATTGCTACATGTGGACAGCTTGTAGCAGCTTGTGGACAGCTGTGGGGAAAGGATCTGCGAGTGACTGGGAGTAGGAAGAAGAGGTGAAGCTCTACAAATAGTAGCTACCGGTAGCTGTTTAGAGAGTGAAGGTGACAGATACAGGTCTTTTAGGCTACCTAGTGATTACCTGCCAATGCCAGGTTCCCATATTAAAGTATGCTACATTTATATATCATGAGATAGAATGGACAATAAAATTTTATTCCTTTTTAACTAAAATTATTTTTCTCTATAAGTGAAATGCTATGGCTTTTGAAAGCATAGATAGCTCTAGCCTTAAGCAATATTTTATAATTCACTTTCAAGTTGAATTGTTTAGTCTTTCCCTAAACACAGAACATATAAACACCTTAAATATTTGCTGTTTCATCAGCATACAGTCAAGATTCTTGTCTGCATTATAGA